CATCTCTTTATAGTTCATTCTCCCATGTAACACATGATTGTTGGCTATATAAGTTGTACCTTTGTTATCATAGTGCACAATGGTTGGTTGTACATGTTTAATTCTCAAGTTGTTTAAGAGGTACCTTATCCAGCTTAGCTCACAATAAACATTGGTCGTGGCTATTTACTCAGCTTCTGCAAATGAGCAGGATATTGTAACAACCTATTTTCTCATATACGAAAAGAGCGCTATTACACATATAGAATTAGATAAATAGCGCAATTGTACAGAGTTACAAATCATGAGGCTATAAAATCTCTAATAACATTTCTACAGTAAATCTTATACCCACTTTACAGAATAATTTCTCAAAATCATGTAAAAGATGCTTCCAAGTCTTCATTTGACCTTGAACTTGCTCTTGATTTTTTTATCTTAGAAATGATAAAAGGAAGTGAGCTACCACATGCCCAATAAAAATAATTTAAGATTCCAATCCAAAAATCTAACATAATATACTAATTCGACTCATTACCTTCACTCCAAACTTACCACACTCTGCACACCTATCCAATTTCTACCCTCGAACTACAATCACGTCAAGTTACTAATTACATGTTTTCACTTCTCGTATGCCTCGCTTCATTCAAAAGTTGTCCACAAGTGCATAACTTGTAATCTTGTGATTGCAATTTATTCTCAAATCTCATAACACTATATCATAATCACATTAATTACACGTGTTCACACAGAATATTTTTTTTTAAATACATATTCACATACAAAATATCCTTCCTTAAACACATATTTACACATAGAATACTTTTCCTTAAACACGTATTCAAACACTAATACCTTCCATAAACACATATTCACACATACAATACCCTTTCTTAACACATTCACACACAATATATGCCTTTTTAAACACATATTCATATAACAGTAAATTCTCATCATTCACTAAACATAACCAATTGGTAAATTCCTATTGTTTCATATGATAACATTTAGTCATAATCGCGGGAGGAAATAATGATTCACACTATCAACATGGATCATACACATTCACATGTCATAGTTATTGTCATCATATAATCATAGTCATAACTATAGTAACGATTCACATCGTCCCCCAGGGACACAAATCATAATCACTGTCATAGATAGGATTTACATCGTCCCCCCAAGGTCATGATCACAACCATAATTACAATTCACATCGTCCCTCAGGGACATAAGTCATAGTTACAAAGTAATAAAATGGTCCATGAGATAGAGTTCGTAATCATTCCATACCGATCCTAGGATGCACATTTACTCATATAACCCTAATAAAAAATTCTTACTACTTATCTATATATTCCCTAACATGGTTTTATTAGAGATTATAATTTTAAACCTCTTACATAACTATTTTCATTTCATTCTTGTAGGAGTTCTATTTCTTCATTTCCAAATGTCTAATTTATTCATTCATAAATTATCGAACTCATCAACTCCCAAGATAATTCAATTTGTCAAGGATATCTAAAAAATTTGATCACATAATTACACTCAATTATTCACTTCATGAAATCATTTATTCACTCCCTCATTTATACTCGCCCAACA